ACCCCCCAAAAACCCCAAAACCAACCCACCCCAAACAAAAAACAAAACAAAAAAAACCCCACGCCACCAAAAAACCAAACCAACCATACCTCTGGATCATCAAGGGATAAAATAGGTGCCAGTAATCTATTAGATAAGCTCAACTGCTCTTAAATGAGCTTTAAGAATATTTGTTCTTTAGACAATGAAAACAGACACACACATATACCTTTCCAGCCACTCTTTTGGTTTTTCCCATTGTGAAACTTCTGTTCGGCAGTTGTAGTAGTATTTTTTGCCTGAAGAGCTGATGTGTTCAGACCAATCGTCCGCAGAATCGTAAGCCTTTAAAATACAAACAGTGTTGGACAAAGGACTACTTGAAGGTTGTAATATACAAATCTAAAATATTTCACCATTTTTAAAAATACATGGTGTACGTGCATATATGTGTCACATGTGCTCACATCACGGCTTTCCATTTATACCATCTCTAAATGCCTGTTTCCTTTTGATAGTTTTAAGATGTGACCACTACATTCCTGTTGCAATCTGCAACAGATTCCTCTGTTTTATTCCCATCAACCCTCAAACAAAATCTGATAGTATGTTTAGTGAGATACAGTAATGTCAATATTGATAACATTAGTTTTTTGCAAATTAAAACTTCCTCAAAAATCACTAATTATATTTTCAAAATTTTTCTATACTTCAAATTTATCTATTCTGTTTTCAGTGCAATTTTTAACAAATACCACCCTAACTACTAAACTTGGATAACAGAAGTGACTAAAATTCACAACGTGTAACACATCTTAAATAGGTAAAAATCATACTTGTCTTCTCTACATTTACCAAAAACATTCATGAAAAATATTTAGCTCTGTATCTACTTCATTTAAATAATCTAGTATCTTAAAATTCAAGCCAGGTACCTCAAAGCTCTAATGATTATCCATTAGAACAGTTTTACAACTTACAACAACTGCAGCTTGGGTTTACAGAGTGCTTATAAAATAAAGACTGATGCTGGAAAACTCAATGAAGCAGGTAATATACATGCCGCCTGTTTTGGACAAAATTATGAAAATACAGTGCGTATGAATGTGGTGACACAGGGATGAATACCAATCACAAATACTCACCGCATCAGAAGTTTTGCTTGGATTATTGCTGGGATTAGAAGAATGAGAATTTGAACTATGAAGAGCACTGTGGTTATGTGAATTTTCCTGTGGAGAGTAACTGGTCCCTAAACGAAAAAAGAAAGACTGTTCACCATGTATGTTTTCAAAGAAGTCAACCATCTGCATTCTAAGGAGGTGGAAGGGGAAAGGAGACCACAGCATAGCTCAGATGCAGAAGTATTTCAGGAGACCATACGCATATTCCTTTTTCACACAGTGTAAAGCTCACTTTGCCTTTCTAGTTACAATAATGCAGTATGTCCCTTCACTACTCTTACTCCCAAACTTCATTCCACTATGAACAAACAAGTAGCCTTTATATTTTTTGATGGTTGGAGGAGTCCTAACATGTCAACTCAGAAATTAAGAGACATTCACTCCTCAACATTAAGTCAGAAAGTTTAAATGGGTTTAATCAACAGCCTACACAGTTAGATACGCAAAATCAGGTTAAGTTCACTGGAGCAATGCTGTTTTCTTAACCTTTTTGAGACTACTTGTAACTGGTTCTAGGTAGCTACTTCTGTTTATGCATATAGATTAAATCAATTTTCCTGCAGCTCAGTCTCTGCAATATAGGTATCAACATCTAGAATACCAAAAGCAGCATTTCTCAAACCGCCACCTGCTTCTGGCCTCCCTAACAACTGCTTCTCAAGGTAACCCAGTTTTCTTCCTCCCTGTGAAAACACTTGAGCACAAAAGAATAGGTGGGAAATGAGAAGGGAGATAATTCTCAACACCTTTTACATCTATATTTGTGCCTAAGCTCAAGCGACCAGTTACACCGGAACAGTTCTAATTACAATTAAACAAGGCCATCCAATAAATCCTTTGCAATCTTATTTTAAATTTCCTGCTCTTAAGGCCTCCCATTCCTCAAAAATTTCTAAGCAAGTAAAAACTCCTCCATTCTTCTTTATATGATTTCCTCTTCCTAAGTTTTAAATGTTCACATAAATCACACCAAACTAAGAAAAATTATTTTCTTACACATTTCAGGGAAAATACTAGATATTCCAAACACAACACTCTCCCTTGCCTTCATTTTTCCTCTGCCTACTGAGAATTTCCTGAATACCCACGGATACTACATGAGGTACCACTAGCTTCACATACCGTATAGCAATCTAAATATGAAGTCAGTGCTTTGCAGCTAAAAGCTGTATCTTACACGCAACTACAATAAAGAACAGTCCACCGATAGTGGACCGATAGGTGGGATTGAATGGAGCCACTAAACAAATAGATTTTTTTTAAGTCGTCTGAGAGTCACACACTCAGAAGATGACTAAATGATATATCATGGTGCAGAATGGGAGAGATTATAATGCAAATTCTATCTTCTGAGCCTTCTGACTAGACAAGTGTTGACAAAATTACTATTTCAAACTTCTTCCTCCCCACCTCTAACCCTGCAGGTTAGAAAAACAGTCCATCACAAAAGCAAAGAGGAACACTATGACTGATCTGTTTAGTGCCCTACAAAGGTTAAAGGCTGATTTGCACATGCATGAGTTATTGCAACCTGTAGTTGCATCAGCAGCTCTGAACCTTTTCCTACACTACTTTGGCTAAAACCGTATGTCATTCTCTTTAAAGATCTGGGGGTAAAAAGAAAAGAAAAAAAAAAAAAAAGAAAAAGCCTTGTCCTCAAATACAGCCTTCCAAAAGGAATTAGTCCTATTAGTCCTACACCAAAAGTATCTTGCATGCTCAGACCAGGTGGAATGACTTACCACAGGTGTAACTTAAACTTGTCAAAGCAATAGTCACAACATCACGTAGTTGTGATGCATGTGAATAACAACAACAAAATAATCAACCTTCTAGTGAATGATGCCACTTTACATGTTATGTACAATAGAAAATCCCAGAATGTACTTTAATATACATTTATAAAACCAGACACATTTAGTTCCCCTAAACATATGCAAGAAGTATATTATAATTACAAAACTGTAATCCTCAGTCACACCAACAGTGTTAATTTCTTTTTTTTTAGACACCGATTATGGACTGAGATATCTGTTTAATATTTTTGTATTAGTCATCCTGTTAAATCTTTATTTATTTACTATACCCTTCCCAAACTCTACTGAGATAAAATCATTACATTTCTTCATGTATTTCTGTAGGTTGCCTAATGCAGACATATTAGGTCATTTCTACTATGAGGTAAAATCATCTCCCTTTTTAAAGGAAAAGCCAAGATGAAAATTTACCAGATGCCTTGTTTGAACAGTTTGATATTAGTCACTTCAAAACTTCAGAAAACACCAGTGTAGTTAATTTACTGTAATCCTGCACCATGGATGCAGTAACACTACACTTTGTTCAGCATACTCAAGATGTAGTTGGTGATTTTTAAATACTGTAGTGGTCTACATACACCGCCACAGTGAATCTAAAATAACACGCATTTTCCAAACATGAATAAGAGCCAACAACATATGTATTAAATCAATAAAATCCTTTAAAGCCAATTCTGTCCAACCCAGAAACAAACCCCTCAAACTCACTGAGCAGACTTTCAGCCCCCACATGGTCTAACAGCTCAGCAGCATCCCCTCCCCATCTCACACTGTTCCCAGCCGCCTTGGTTCCCAGCCCCAGTACTGAGTCACAAAGCACCTCGGAGCGAGTATCAGAGCGGCTGCAGCAGTCACACCCACCTACAGCTGGCCCCAATAGTAGAAACGCCTACTATGCAGCAGTTTCTTCATAAGGAGCCCCTGGGCCTCTCCACACTGAGCTGCAGTCCTCCTAGCAGAACTCCCTGGCTGCACACTCATGGGCTTGCCCTGAATCAGGGATCCTGCCCTACCTGAGCTGGCCTCAGCTGCATAAAAACTGACCGTTGCTGCTCCAGCGATACCGATTGCCTCGGGCTGCCAGGACAAGCTACACAGGCTTTTACAAGGGCAAACCATAAATACATACCCAATGGTGTCTAGGACAATCACACAGTGTAATTACAGGTGCAGGTTCACCCCCATGCCTCCATTTTATTTTATGCATAATACCGCTTTATGTTTGGATCTGTATCGAACATCAAGGCAATGAGCACTTGAGCTGCCAAACTGACGTTTGCTGTTGGGAAGCTTCCAAGACTGAAGCAAATGATGCTCTGGAGAACAAGAGTTTTAGGCACCTCATACAAGCTAAGGGCTTAAAGATCATACATAAACACCGAAACTGTATCACCAAACTAACCACGTACTAAAAACTTGCTGCCTCAGTATAAAAAGGTACATACCTGCATGGCAGTCACCTAGGAATTGTGACAACCCAGCCAAGCAAGCATTGCCAGCTCAGGTTGCCAGGGAAAGTTGCTCAAGACCTTTAAAAGGCCATCAAGTTAAAATGGCATGCAGAGAGCGATCCGCAAGTGGAGTTCTACCTCTAAAAAGAAGGGGGGTTCCCCTTACTTGTATGCTAGCTTTCAGTGTTAGCAAAGCCTAACCCTGAGCCATTTTAAGGTTGCTCTGACTTGCAGTCAGCTCTGTGTCTCCCAGCTGCATGCCTGGCAAAGTAGATCATGAGAACTGGATCACTAAGATTAGTCCATATCCCAGAAACAGGCCTGATAAGGTGGACAGCACACTACTGTGCCTCGAGACGTTCCCGTATAGCACTTCTCACCCTTTCATCTTACAGTTAGACCTTCCCTGCTAGTCCCACTTTCTTCAAGAAAGAGGGATAAAAAGACTCATTTTTAAAATGCTTATTAGCATACCTTAAGATTTAGCAATTGCAACTATGCACTTTGATGCACCATAGGGAAATTCACATTGTGTTATAAATCCTCCAATTCAGTTACAGAACTCCCCATGGAAATATTTACTGCACAGTCATTGTGACTTTCCTCAGCTTAATCATTATTCTGGAAGAAGTTAAATCTGGAAAGAGCTATTCCTAACTGGAAGATGGCCAAGAAGGGCATCAGCACTACAGTTACATAAAACTGTAGTGGTGTAACTGTGTGAGCAAGCCTTCACTAACACTACCTCTAGTGACGAACAGGTCATACAACAGGTCAGAGTCAAGGTTAAATTATCATAACTATCTTCAAGTCTTTCAAACAAAAATCACATCTTCCTCACTAATGCATGAAAACCAGAAGAAAGTGCAAAAAGCATGGTTCTGAGAACCAATTAAAAAAAACAGGCTGTGACTTAATGCCTACAGATTTGAGATTCTGTCACACCAAGGCTCACTTTAACAATGTTTTTGTAAGTAGTTTCCAGATCCAAACTGCTGAGTCCCAGGCAGTTCAAACTACAAGGCTTCAACACTAGGCTGGACTTGGAAAACAGACATAACAGAGGGTGAAACAAGAATATTCCATTTTGCAACACAGTCAGCTTTCTCTAGTAATTATCACATTTAATTAATGTCTCCATTAATACTACTTCAACTCTATGAAATTAAGAAAAGTTGAAATTCTGAGTTAGCTAAGGATCAGACTGCTCTAATAAAGCAACTGACTTCTCTCCCTTCTCCCCACCATCTTTCAAGAACAAGCTGAAACTCTTTCCTTTCCAAAACCTATACACTTAAACAGTAAAAGAAATCCCATTTTTCACCCTCTTCAAACAAATGTACACTGAGAAATTAGACAGTAAACAAGTTCACACGCCTCCATTCACACCCAAGATTTTAGCTAGGCGCAAATACTAAAATTACAGTAGTTGCAGTAGTGTAGTGTTGCACTATACAACAGTTAACTTTATACAGTCCAACATAGAGCATTTATGTTTGTTTTTCAGTCGGACAAATATCTCGTTAATACCTTAACTCTCTTTCTGTCCATAATAAAAAGTATCAGTGCAGATAATACAAAGGGCAGTTTACAAATGCTCACCAGCTAGACAGGAAGCACAAAAAATGCTCCCTAGCAATAACAAGTGCTGTAACTAGAACTCAAAGGCAGTCCTCCCCTTCACTCCCTCCAGAGGGAACAGGGATTCAGGAAGGGCTCTAGGAGAGCCTTCTTTTCTGTGCCCAGAAACCAGGCATATAGAAAGAAACATTGGGCAGCAGAAAAGCAAGGAAGTTCATT